CCTTGACAAGGATCGGACAGGCAAGAGCGCGCTCGGGCCAGATCTACGTCTAGCCGCATCGCAATCGCCCAGCACAGTTGCCCCGTGGAGGAGCTACGGTGGAGAGCGCCTAGCCACGGCGCCCGTGGACGGGTGGAGGAATGGCACGGTCTACGGTGGACGCGAGCGCCTGGCCACGGCGCAGGCCTACGCCCTCTGCTCAACAGAGCGAGTCAGGCTGACGCGCACCACGCGGGAGCGAGCTAGCGACGCTGGCCTCCACGCCACCCGCACAGAGGTGCGGAGGTCTGCACGAGGAGGTGTCGTCTTTGCGCGAGGAGCTCCAAAGGCGACCGAGCACTCCATGCGATGCGCCCTCGAGGCCGCGGACGGCCCCCTCGCGCAGGGGTGAGCTCAATTGCGACGAGTCGTCGGCCACGGCCCCTCCGCATAGGATGAAGAGAGGCCACGACGTCCGCTTGTTCAGAGAGTCGCCCCCGCTGCCTTTTGCCGGGAGGGCCCCGCCCCCCCCCCCAAACCACCCCACCCCACCCATCCCCCACCCCCACCCAGGTTGATCCCCTCCTCGATGCCGCCGTCGATTGCGTCGATGTGCTCGAGCTCGCATCCTTTGTGCAGGCCCCCCCCAGGCGCCCCTACGGCGGCGCGCAGCGCCGCTGCACCCCAAACAAAAACGCGCGCGCAGCGCGCGCCAGCGGCGCGCAGCGCCGCCGCAGGCGGCGGACAGCAGGTGCGCAAATTTAAACGCCATTTTCGGTTTCGCACTTTTGCCAAAATCTTCAAAATCCGGTACAAATCGACTTAGGAGATTTTCCGTGCGCAGCCGGCGGGGCCCATGGCGGGGGCTGGCCCCCCGCTGCCAGGCGGCCAGCCAAAAATGTTATAAACACCAAAATTGGGTTTACATAGTAAACTGCTTGCCAGAGGCCTCAGCAACTTTGTACATCATTTTGGTCCTTTCTGTGTGGGCATGAGAATCGTTGCTAGAGAGCCCTAGCCCCGGGGGTGCGCGGTCGCAGGGCCATAACACGGGTCTCCGAGGGATAGCTCCGCGCTCCGGGTTTCCCCTAGCAGCAGAACGCACCCTCTACTCAGAGCTAGTAATACGAGAATACTCTCCGAGGGTTAGCCCCGCGTACCAGGTTTCCCCTTAACTGCAGCACGCCCCCTCTACTCGGAGCTAGTGATACGGCAATACGTACCGCCCCCACGCAGTACCTGTACTACTCGACGATAATACAAGAATACGCAGCTTGGAAGTTGCAGACGCCTATAAAGAAAAAACAGCACGCTAAATTTCGGCGGCTAAAAAGCAAAGGACGGGCGCTTTTGATCGGCAAAGCAAAGTTGGAGTAACGGCGACCGCGTCACCACAATGCCAGTCGCCTGTCGAGCAGCCTTGGCGGCGCGCATGCGCCGCAGGGTTGACCGACGGCCGCGCGCCTCGAGCCTCTCGCTCCACTCGCGGCACGACGCACCCCGCGCGCCGGTCAGCGCAACAGGAGTATTGCGACATGCTGCACAACGCCAAGGACAGCACTGAGAAGCTGGCGCCAGTCGCCCACCAGCATGTCTCAGCACCGGGTGAGGGAGCATGCTGCGCACGCTGATGCAGCACGAGGTCACCACCAATCAGGCCCTCACGCCACTGCACGGCCGCCCTCGAGCACCAGCAGCCGCGCTGCGCCATGCTCAAGCTCAGGAGGCCACCCTGCTTCTCGCAGCTTTGTGCAGCGCAGCGAGCGAGCAGCGCCGCACCAGGCGGACCCATGGCGTACTCAGCCAGCCGTGAGGCGGAGGCAGGCCGAGTGAGCGCGAGCCGCGCGGGAGGCCATGCCCCGCGCACCGGCGAGCGAGTGGCACGAAAGAGTGCAAGAGTCGCGCATGCTTTTGCGTAACGGTGGGCAACGCGGTAAAATTCTTTCCAGGCCTCTTGCCGGCTCGCCTCGACCTGTCACTCGTCTCAGTGCAAACTTTCGTCTCAATATGTGGTGGAGATCCGCTCTACTCCTGCTCCTGCTCTCGTTCCGTCAATCCAGCGGCTCCGCTGAGGACGAGGCCGTCCCGCGGATGTTGCAGCTCTTCCAGCAGGCGGTCGCGTACGACGGCACACTCCCGCTCACGGTGCTGCCGTTTGACCTGGCCGGCGAGGGAGGCGGTCAGAGTCCCGCCGCTGGCGGCTCGAGCGGCTCGGCGTGGAGCGTGGAGTTCGCGGTGCGCGAGGCTGCGCCCGCCGTCCCTCTCACGGAGCCAGCGCGCTCCTTTGACGCCGCCTTTGACAGCGTCGGCGCTGCGCTCATCGAGGGCAGGTTCGGCGAGGCGGGCGCGGGGCTGCACGCTCTGTGCGAGCGGGCGGCGGCGGCGGCGGCAGCGGCGGCGTCCCGAAGCGGCGGCGCTGATGCCGACGCGCGCAGGCGCGCGTCTGTCCTCGAGCCTTCGGGAGAGGTTTGCCGAGATTCGCCGAGATTGCCCGGGATGACCCGAGGCGGTGTCAGAATTAGGCTCGCGTCGGTCCTCGTGCCGTGGGGAGAGACGTGCGCGCTGCTGTCGGCGTACCTGCCTCCGGGGCGGGCGGACGAGCCGCCGCCGGCGCAGAGCGGGAGCGAGGACCACCGAAGGCTGACTCTGCTGCTGCTAGAGCTCGGCGGGCCGCTGCTCCACTACGCCCTCGTCGGCGTCGTTAATGAGGGAGGAGCGGTCATTCATTAGGCGGGCCGCTGCTCCACTACGCCCTCCTCGGCGTCCTCGCCGAGCCACTCGTGTCCGCCCAGTCGCTCGCCCGCCTCGCCGACGCCTCGAGCCGGCTCGGCGGCGGCGGCACGACTCGGCGCGCCGCCCTCGCCTCCGCCGTCGCCGCCGCGTCGTCGCCGTCGGTGGCGTCTCGCTCGAGGGCTGCGGACGAGCTGCGCAGGCGATCTCGCCTCATCTCGCTTTCATCTCGCTTTCATCTCGCTTTCATCTCGGGCCATCTCGCTTTCATCTCGGGCCATCTCGGGCCATCTCGGGCCATCTCGGGCCATCTCGGGCACATCTCGGGTCATCCGAGGGCGGGTGAGCTGCACGGTGAGAATAAGAAGACGAGTCATGATGACACAGGCAGGGGCTCTGCGATACCGCCGAGTCCTCGCCCTCCGACGAGGGAAGCGGCGAGGGGAAGGCGGAGGAGCTGGGGTTGAGCCGTTCTCGGCCGAGATATGCCGAGATATGATGGCGAGAGGATGGGCGAGAGTAGGCGGAGCGCCAGCTGGGCGTGCGCGTCTGCGCGGCGCTGCTGCTGCGGGCGCGCGCAGAGGGCCTCTCGCTGACAACCCTCTCTCTGTCTCTCTCTCTCTCTCTCTCTCTCTCTCTCTCTCTCTCTCTCTCCCTCCCTCCCTCTCTCTCTCTCTCCCTCTCTCTCTCTCTCCCTCTCTCTCTCTCTCCCTCTCTCTCAGATCACGCGAGATCACGCGAGATCACGCGAGATCGCGCGAGCTCGCCGCGAGATCAGGCGGCGCGCGAGCACGAGGCGGTGGAGGTGCTCACGGCAGAGGTGGTCGCCTCGCCGACGCTGCACGCCTACCTCAGCGCCTTTGCCGTCGCGTCCCGCCTCCCGCCCCCCAAAGGCAGCGGCAGAGGCGGCGGGCACAGCTCCGGTTCTTGGCGCGGCTCCATCTTGTTCACCGCGCGGTCCGTTGGTGCACTCAGGAGGCGGGCGGGCGGCGCGGCTCCGCTTCTCGCTAGAGGCGATGCTCGAGGTGCTCGAGGCCTCGCTGCAGGCACCGCAGCACCGCAGCACCGCAGCACCGCAGCACCGCAGCACGGCCTCTAAGCTCATCTCGGCGAATCTCGGCGAATCTCGGCGAATCTCGCCGCATCTCGGCGAATCTCGCCGCATCTCAGCTCATCTCGGCGCATCTCGCCGCATCTCGCCGCAGGCACCGCAGCACGGGCTCGCGTCGGAAGGACACCTCCTCCGCTGGCAGCTCCGCCGCATGCTCGGGTTCGGAGTCCCGCCTGCCGGAGGCGCCGCCGCGCCGCCCCTCGATTGCCCGCCGCCGCCGCCGTCGCCGCGGCTGGACGCGCCTCGGCTGCTCATCGTGATGCCGTTTGTCGCTGCCGAGCGGCGCCGGTTGACCGAGAACTTAGGCTGCCGGGCCTTCTTTCTGCTGAGGTCCGTGCGCCGCCAGCTTCTGTCTTGAGGGCGAAGGCGTTCTGCTTAGGCCGCTGGGCCCTCGGCGGCCCGTACTCGCCGTGCTCCGGCGGCGGGGGCAGCGGCGGTGGGCGGGGAGGGGGAGGGGGCGGCGGTGGCGGTGGAGGGGCCGGCGGGCGTGTGAACGCCGGCGAGAGCCCCGTTGATCTCGAGCTGCTGATCGCGGACCCGCCGGGGGGAGACGCAGACGCATGGGCCGAGCCGGCGACGCTGCTCGGCGGCGCGGCGGCTTGCTTCCGGAGGGCGGCGTTGGTCCACGCCAACCTCACCGCCGCCGAGCAGCACTACATCGGCGGCTGGTCCAACGTCGGGCCAAACAACCTCTTCCGCGCCGTGCTGCTGCACCCGTCCGGCCGCGTGCCCTAGACTTGGAAGAGAAGACTCGGAAGCACGCATTCTCGTCCTCCCAAGTAGCGCTCGAGAGGACACGGGCCACCGCTTGTGCTCGACCGCACTCCGCTGTCTTCGGCCGTACTCGCACCCGCCGCCCCGAGGCTCGCGTATTCAGCGTGTTAGGCCGCGTGCACGAGGCGTACGACGCGCTGTTTTGGATGGAGGCGGACACACACTCACTCAACACACGCACCCGCCCCGCCCGCACGGCCCCACACACGCGTGGTGCCGAGCGGGCCATCTCGGGTCATCTCGGGTCATCTCGGGTCATCTCGGGTCATCTCGGGTCATCTCGGATCATCTCGGGTCATCTCGGGTCATCTCGGGTCATCTCGGGTCGTCTCGACACAACAGGCGGACGTGGTGCCAATCGCGCCACGTTGGCTCGACCGGTTGCTCGAGGAGGCGGGCGCGCGCTCGTACTGGCGCAAGGGGCCGGCGCAGCAGCCGACGCTGCAGCACGACATGGTGTCGACACACCACTACCACATGAACAGCGTCGGCCTCTACCGCCTCGGCCAGCCCTGCTACAGGGCGCTGCTCGCGCGCGTCGCCGCCGAGCACGGCGACGCCCCGCACGACGTCTCCCACCACCTCTTCCTGCACGAGCCGCGCCACTTCCACATCTGGCAGGCGCACGCGCATCGCTTCCTCTACACCGACTTCGTCCAGAACCGGCTCGACGAGTGGTCCCTCGACGACATCGCCGCCGTCTCGCCCGACACCGTGCTCGTCCACGGCAAGACGCCCGACCCGTCCGTCTTCGCGGCCTTCGACGCGCAGCGCGAGCCCGGGGCGGGAGGCGCGTGAAGTCTCGACGAACCTCGATTGGCTCCTCTGGAAGCGCGACTCCTGCATGGGGTGGCACCCGAGAGCTCAGAGCTCGCCGTCACCGACGACGAGCGCTCGACGCCAAAGTGTTGCCCCTCGCACCGATTGCGAGGGGGGAATCGAGGCACGAGGGGAGTTTCGATCAGAGGTGACTCCAGCGAGTCGCAAACAGCGGTTGCCGCCGCCAGACGTACGCGCATAGAGCATGTGCCTCCGCCAGAGACGTCGCGCATTTGAGCAGTAGCTCCGTACACAGTGGGGCCGTACCGAGTCCGAACTCCTGAGCTAGCTCCCTCTAGTTTATTTACGAGTACGTGTGACGGGGGTAGTTGCACGAGTATGATGTGACTGTGGGACAAAAGCGTGTCGAAAATGTCCCAAAAAGCGCTCGTAAACTTTTAGCCGTAACGGTTGTCTACGGTAAAATTAAGAGCCGCACGTGTCGACGATATCACGAGCAGCACCACAGAGTAGCTTTACAGCCTACAGCCCAGACAGCCAACAGAGTCAGAGTTCAGAGAGAGCCTCTTTCGTGTGTCCCATGAGCGCAGGGTATAACAAAACTAGCCCCAGAGAGACCGTGTGGATGTATAGGTTACGTCTTACTTTGTGAAGCCACTTGAGAAGTCATCCGAGCTACAGCGCCGCCGTATTCATGCGCCGTAGCGTATTCATGTGGGGGTCTCTCCAGCTCGGGCTGTGTCGGAGCATTTGATGTACGTCGCCTCGCCTGCAGCCTCGGAAGAAGCGCCAACCACGGCGAAGATTGCGACCGCGGGGCTCGAGGCGCTTCGCCTGTGGTTTCAGGATGCGCGCGCGCTCGCTCGGGCTGTGAGCGCTGTCAGAGCGGTGTTTCGACACCGATATCGTTCAAGGAACGCTGTTCAAATTCGTGGCGCCACAGGTAAGTGTAAGTAAGTAAGCTGAGCATCTGGGTAGATAGAGTGAACAGACGCTTCCCTGGGACTCCGTGTTGCGTGACTGTCTCTGTGCGATTTCGGGCCCGGGGTTGTGCGTTTATGTGAACAATAACAAGGCTGTGAACAGACGCCGCACAGGCGAGTGCCCGCCCCTTCTCTGCTCGAAATGCCCTTCTCGCTGGTGTGCTTCGCCGTCGCCGCCGCCGCCGTCGGCCGGGCCGCCGCCGCCGCCATTCCCGACTTTCCAGCCGAACCTCCTCACCTCCCCCCGGGGCCGCCGACGCCGCCGCCGTATCCTCCAGGCAAGGCACCGCTGCCGCCGCCTTCCGCCCCGCCCTTCCCTCCAGCTGAGCGCATTTGTGATTCGTCTGGCAATTGCATGGAGCGGACATGCGATGCAAGCGGCAACTGCCACACCAAACATTGCGATTCCGACGGCGCGTGCTACACTACCGTGTGTGACCAATCGGGTGGGTGCTATACCACCGTGTGCGACAAGGAGGGAAACTGCTACAGGTTGGTGTGCGACACGGAGAAAAACTGCTATCGCAAAGTGTGCGACTCCGATGGCAACTGCTACATCTTGGTCTGTGACAAGGAGGGCAACTGCTGGTCCAAGGTCTGTGATGCTAAGGGCAATTGCATCCGGCGCGCGAGTGAAGCCGATGGTGACTACCAAATCATTGCAGAGGATGCTGACGGCAGGAAGATTACCACGACATGCGAATACTCACCTCCCCCCTTCCTCCCTAAATGCATCCAAAGTAACGGATTGTGACCCGGCTGGCAACTGTCAGCAGACAAAGTATCGCTTCCCGCCCGCGACGCCGCCCTTCCCGCCGCCGTCCGCCCCGCCAGCCTCGAGTGCTACCCGGGCATCCCCGGTGGGCTGGCTTGCCCGCCCGGGCACTTCCTCGGCTTTGGCAAGAAGGGCGGGTGCCGGACCACGACGTGCGAGACTGGGCAGTACACCGCCCTCCGGGGCATCACCACGTTTAACGCGTGCGCGGAAAGGTGTCTCCGCGATGCCAGCTGCAAGGCGTTCGAGTGGTTCCCTCGACCCCGTGGGCTGCTCCCTTCCAGGGCACCGTGTGAGATCCACCGCGACGTCCCCGTGAAATCAGCGGCCGACTGCGGGGAGACCGGTCAGGCCCTTGACCACTGAGTGTTGCTGCACGCGGGCTTGAGTATGCCGACCCCCGCCAGAGAGGACGGGGTGGGGGTGGGGGTGGGGAGTGGAGGTGGGGGGTGGGGGGTGGTGGTGGTGGTGGGGGGGGGGGGGGGGCTCTGGTCGAGCGAGAGGGAAGGAGGACTTTTGTTTGTGTCGCCTACGGCGTCCCTGGTGGGATTGGCCGGAGAAGCGGCGGGGATCTTGGTGGGACACACACGCGCGCGCCGCGCCTCCGCCTCACCACGCGTGGCTCGAGTGTTGTTGTGGCTCGAGTGTCGCTTGAAAAAAGAATTCAATCCTACGCCCTTGCTTGGGACGCGTTCACGACAGCTCGGAGGAGGCGGCCTTGATATCTCGCAGGTACCAAACAAGACCCGCTCGCAGGATGCCAGCCCCCGTCGTGATGGCGGCCGTCGGCGCCGGCGCCGCCGCCGCACACGGCGCGGTCCTCTTCGTTCCTCCCGTCGCGGCCACCTTCGCGTACGCCCGCTTCCGCTCGAAGCAGGAGGCTGCGGTGGCGCCGTCGTCGGAGGGCGCTGGTCAGCAGTTCAGCCCGCCCAAAACGAGGGCAGGGAAGGGCGTCCACTTCGCTGCCGATGTCGAGTCGGGCTGCATCTCCGCGACCGAGCGGCCTCCTCCTCACGCCGTGCGGAAGCTTCGCCGCCGCCCTGACTCGCTGCCTGTGCAGTGACGATGGGAGGCGCACGAGCACGCGGACCAGCCGAGGCTCGGGGCGGATCACCGAGCTCATGGACAGCCTCGAGTACCAGAAGTGCATTGACGACGAAGAGAACCACGACGTGGTCGACCTCGCCGGCCGCCCAGTTGCACAGGCCACGGAAGCGCGCCGGCCACGTTCTGACCTCTTCCGGTCGGTGCTCGGGCGCGACGCGGCACACATCCGAGTCATCGGCAGCGGCACTGTCCGGACGCTCTCATGAGCGCGCCGGCAGGGAGTTTAACAGTCTATACCTCTGCCTAGAGTTTGCGCCATCGGTGTCTGTGCATCGCATCAGCTGCTCCGTCATCAGCTGTCCGTCCTCCCCTGTGTTCTAATCCAAGTTGGACGCCGTTGGACGTATCCAGTGTTCACTGTCTACGTGTAGCGACGGGCGCTGCGCGATAGCTGCTTTGTGGGTCCCGTGAGCCAAGTCAGCGTCGGGCTGCGTGTTCCGTGTGCGACGGCACACGTGCGTCCCCGCCGAGTGGACGGGGGCACACAGCAGGTGGCGCGGTGTGCCCCCGTCCACTCAGCGGGGTCGCAGCTGCCTCTGCGCGTCCTGTGGATGTACCTTTGTCGCGCGCCGGAGATGACTCGACGCCGCTGAGATCGGAGATTCAAGCTCTGACAGGTCGCACGTCGCTCCTTTGACGCCGACGTGACTCACCCGTGCAGATCACATCAGGACACGGTCTCGACGCGCTCGGTACGACGCCTGCGACCCGTCTTGGGTCAAGTGGCACGACGCTCATCGCGCCTACCAGCGCTGCCGTGCAGGTTGCCACGACGAGGTCGAGCACGCTTCTATACGCTCGCCCAGCCTCCCTTTCCATCCCATTAGGCAGCATGGGAACGGTGGCGAGCAGAGGCAAAGCATACGAGGGGTGGTGGAACCACATGTCGCGGCTACTGCCGGCTCGACCCCACGATAGCCTCCGAAGGCTGACTTTGAGGCACCATCATCGGACGATGTCGACGAGTTGGGTCGCTCTCGCGGTAGCCAGGTAGCCCCCCATACTAGTAGCACCGGCCATGGCCGCAGGAAGCTCGGGGGAGGGCGCTGGGAGCAACACGGAGCTCCGTTGGACGCGTTTTCAAGATTAGCGTGTCAGAGTGAATTGGAACTAGCCTTTGGCATGCTGCGCCCGCTGGCGCGCGGCACGCGCCTCGCCACCGACTACGCCGAGGCGGCTGCGGCGCGATGCGGAGCCGGAGCGGGACCTCGGTTGAGCGGCGGGACCCCGACCGCTTTTGAGTGCGCGAAGACTACGCGAGACGTATATGGGAACGTGTGTAGAGGGGTGGAGGGTGGGTTGAACGAAATCCGGGGACGCGACCCACTTCGCCACAGACGGTCCCGCGCCTCGCCGCTATGACGGCCGCACGACCGCAGCTCGTGTGCGTGCGGCCGTCTTTGTCCGGAGTGAATACTCAAACGCGCTCGTCGGTGACGGTGTCCCCGGATTTCGCCGCGCTCGGCGAACCTCGACAGCGCCCCTTCGGTGGCATGCATCAAGCTGCTGTACGGCCCCGGCATCGCCTCCCCTGGCTTAGCTCTCAAGATATTGTGGACATGGTTGGTCTCTACAATATATACACTGACACTGAACCTCCCAGAGCTCGTCCCGGTCCGTCACGGCCATCCTCGGCCTCCGGACGGGCCCCCGGCCGCGGCGCGGCGCGGTGCGGCGGAGTCACAAATCCGACGGCAGAGCACCGGGACGCGGTCGGGCGATCTAAGGCCCAGTGAGGCGTATGCATTGCCCATCCAGGACTATCACCTGGACCTATCAACAGGGGCTGGAGCCGAGCAGGAGGGCCCGGCGCACAACCCCTTGTTCAACTCACCCTCCACACCCCGTATAATGTGTGGTGGCACGCGGGAAGCCCGCTAGCCCCGAGCCGGCGGCGCGGTGGGCGGTGGGGCAGCTGCCAGCTCGCACACACGACACAGTGCTTGCAGGCGTTCGAAAGGGGGGGTCTTTGCTGCATGGACCGTTTGTACCGGGTACTACACGTAGGTCCCGTAGCGAATAATTCCTGAACATTTGAGGCCAACATTATATTATTTCGCCATCTCATCGATGATCGCGTGCAAGAACGGCGTGAGGTCTGCGGGCGTGCGCGCGGTGATGAACGGGCCTACATGAGGAGGAGGAGGAGCATTGAGGGGCGGTGGAAGGGAGGGTGGACCACCGGCTCGGCAAGAAGACGCCGTCCACCACCGCTGGCTCATCGACGTACGTGGCGCCTATTCGCAGCGGGACGTTTGAGACAGCGTCCGCGACCCCACCGAATGCGTCAACGCGCCGGCGTTGATGAGGTCGTCCTTGCAGGCGGAGAAGCAGGTGGCGCGGATACCCTTTGCGAGGGGCGAGCCGTCCGTCCGCCGCGCCGAGCAGAGCATCCAAGGGCCATGGCAGATGCTCGCGACGACCCTGCCGGCGTCGGCCATCGCGACGGTGAGGTCGAGCATCGCCTGGTTTCGCCGCATGTAGTCCGGCGCGAAGCCGCCTGGAATGAGCAGCGCATCGTACGACGCGACCGCATCCGTCGTGGACATGTTGTCCACGCAGAGGTCGCTCTTGACTGGGTAGCCGTACTTGCCGGTGTACTTTATCCCGGCGGGATGCGCACCCATCACACTCACCTGCGGAAACACGAGAACGCGTTTGGCCAGCTGAGTCATCGCAACACTAACTTGAAATTTGGGCGTGTGTGCACCTCGGCGCCCTCCTCCTCGAGCCGCATCTTCGGGTACATGAGCTCGAGGTCCTCGAACTGAAAATCAGCGAGAAGCAGCACTTTCCTGCCCGCGAGCAGCTTCGGGCGGGAGGTAGCGGCCATTGAGCGCGTTCTGGGTGCTGTCTCAACTACTGGCGGGAGCGGCGCGAAGAAGTCCTTTACAAAACAGGAAGCAAAAAGAAAAGCGCAACAAAAAGTGATCTGTGCGCTGTAAGTCCGCCCGCAGGCGCATTTTGTATACCGAGGCGGTGCCCGGTGCCGAGCGCAGGCAGAGCCCCCAGGTCGGACCTTAAGACAGCATTGTAGATCCCTGGGGCTGGGCGAAAAAGTATTTAAACATGTCAAGTCCCTCTCACAGCCCAGACAGGCTCGACTATTTTACAACAAAAGGCGGTCGCACGACACGATTCACGCGACAGGCGAGGCGCGGGCGACGGCTTCCTCAGAAGCCGTCGCCCGCACCACAGGAGCAGTCACACCACTCCCACTCCGGCGTCCACCCACTCCCCACCCCGACATCCTGGTCACTGCACCCATACCTCCACCCTCTTGGGCAGCAACTGGTTCGACAGGTCCTCTCCGTGGCCTAGGCAGCCGTGGCCGCCCTCGCCCCAGGTAAAAACAGCGCCATCCGTGCGGGCGAGGTTGTGGTTTGCTCCAGCTGACACAGCGACGACGCGCTTCCCCGCAAAGGCCTCGATCTTCTTCGGTAGCCGCTGGGTCTGCCGGTCGCCGTGGCCCAGCTGGCCCCAGCCTCCATTGCCCCAGCTCCAGAGGTTGCCGTCGGCGGCGAGGGCAAGGCTATGGAAGTAAGCAGCCGACACAGCGACGACGCGCCGCCCAGCCAAAGCCTCGATCTTCTTTGGCAGCGGCTGGTTCCGTTCGTCGCCGTGGCCCAACCGGCCATCGCCTCCCCAGCCCCAACTCCAGACGGCGCCGTCGGCGGTGAGGGCGAGGCTGTGGTTCTCTCCCGCCGACACGGCAACGATGCGCCGCCCTGCCAACGCCTCGATCTTCTTTGGCAGCAGCTGCTTCTCCTGGTCGCCGTGGCCCAGTTTGCCTGAGCCGCCATAGCCACAGCTCCAGACGTTGCCGTCAGCAGTGATGGCGAGGCTGTGGCGCTGCCCAGCCGAGACCGCGACGACGCGCTGGCCAGCAAAGGCCACGATCTTCTTGGGCAGCAGCTGGGTCTGCTCGTCGCCGTGGCCCAGCTGGCCGTCCCCTGCACTGCCCCAGCTCCAAATGGCGCCGCTGCCGGTAAGGGCGATGCTGTGGTATCCTCCAGCCGAGACGCTCACGGCGCGCTCGCCTCCCAGCGGCGACGGGAGGCGGGTCGGCGTGTTGGACTCGGACAGCAACGCAGCAAAGCACAGCCACCGCACGGCGCAGTCCTCGTCCTCAGGCTGCGCCGGCAGCTCGAAGCCGCGCTCTTGCGCCCACAAGCGGATGGCCTCCGCCGCGAGCGAGGCGTGGAAGAGGAGCGAGACGGCCGCGAAGCGAGCGATTTCGGCGGGGCTGTCGCAGCGAGAGAGGGCGCGCTCGAGGAGGTCCGTGGGGAGGTCGAGGAGGCGGGCGGGCGGCGGCGTGCTTGGCGAGGGGGCGGCGGTGGAACCGGAGGCGGTGGCGAGGCGGCGCGAGCGGCGGCGCGGCGGGGTGGACATCGCGAGAAAAAGAAAACGACGTCGACAGAGTCCGTACGAGCTTCTTTGTTAATTTCTGATCCATCCTTCCCTATATGACTGAGACTCGTTGGTTAGTGATCACCCTTGCAACGTGGGAACAGCGCCTCGAACGGGCTCGAGTGACTCCCAGTTCGAGCCGCAAAAGTCGGAAAGAAGAGAAAAAGAAATTTCGCTTCTGTGTCCCGCAGAGGGTCCCCCGGGGATCCTCCGGGGCCCCTGGGGGCCTCCCAGGGGCATCTGGGCCCTCCCCCATCAGCTATTCATGCAGACTCAGCCAGCAGCCAGCAGCCGGCAGCCGAGCAGCTTGCACGTGCAAACTGGGCTGCTGGGCTGGCCTGAGCCAGCAGCCTGCTGCTGCCAGGCAGCCAGACCCATACGCACACACGCCCATATAACACGCAGAGATGGCAGAGATGGCAGAGATTGCCGCAGCTATTGAGTCTAATCCGCATCAATTTGATGACTTAATATTGGACTTGGCGGCCACTAAAATCGCGGCCGCGGCGCGTGGTATGCATGTTCGGTCGCCGAGAACGAGAAAGATGACATACTTTGCCGTCAAGCACAAGGCGCAGCTGTACGCATGGCAGGAGCGTGCCGCAGTCAGGAGCGGCAGGTTTGCCCCGGACGGGTCCGGACGCAAGCGCGATCGGGAGGAGTTTGAGGCCGATTTCGGCGACGAGCCCGGCGGCGGCGACGGGCCCGGCGACGACCGCGCATCCCCCCAGGCTAGGGCTCTCTAGCCCGCAACCCGTTACCAATCGTCCAGAGCCTCTGGGTGCACTTCTTAGCGCCCCGGCCCTGGGCGTGCGGTTGATAACTGCACTCCAAGTGCTCCAAGTTCGCACCCGTTGAAGACTCACGCCCTGCGTCTTGATCTGCCAACAACAAAAACCTATGGGTCTAGATGGGGGGGGGAGAAGGGGTGGTGCTGGTGCAACGGACACGTAATGCACATGCACTGGTGCGGCGCGACTTGCACTAGTGCCGTTCCGTGGGGCTTGACAGACGCAATCGCCCGCGTGGCGGGTGGTCCGGGCCCGCCCGGCGCGGTGCGTCCTCGTCGGTGGGGGTCTTTGTGGTGTTTACCTCGAGCGCTCGAGGTGTTTACGGCTTTAGACTTTGCGGGATTCTCTTAGATCTTACTTACTCCGAAAAGAGGGGCGGGGCCCGACCTGCCTACTAGTACCGATCTTAGGCTCCGGCTCAGGTCAGAGGGCCCAGCCACTCGAGGGTCCTGTGTAAACGGGCATTGCCTAGATGGTCTTCAACGCACAAAGGGTGTTAATAGAGCTCTCTTGATCCTTCTGAGCACGAAGACCGCTCGAACTCTTCTGCAGACTTTAGTTTTTTCGTTTTTCATTAGCTGATTTCGGGCCCGGGGCGTTGTGCGTTTACGTGAATAGTTGCGCGACCAGGCCCTTGACCACTGTTGCTGACCCCTGTTGAGCGGCAAGGCCACCAATATAAGACCACCAAGACCACCAAGACATTTGGGATCGGCTAGAAAGCCTCGGCAATGTTCGCGGAGCTGCTTCTCACCTAACATTGCCGAGGCTTTCTCCGCCTTCGAGGAGACCATGATTCGCCACGCGAAGGACGGAGCGTTCGCGCTTCAACACTAGTTCGTAGTTGGCACGCCTGCCCCCTTCCCCCAGTCGGAACTAGTGTCCCCCCCCCCCCCCCCCCTTGCTCCCGGCCAGCCGAGCCGCTCAGCGCTCAGCCGCCGTCTCGCGTCTACCACACACACACACACACACACACCGCTCACCCACGCGCACTGGGCCTTGCACTTTGAATGCCGTGGGGCTTCTGTCGTCAGACGTGGAGACGCGAGGGTTGCCCCCCCTTGCCCCACCACCTCGTGTGTGTGTGGAGAAGGGGGGATGGGCGACGTGGCATAGTGGGAAATGATATACCGTCGCCAACTGCACTCTCTGGGTCGCCAGTTCAACTGCAGAAGTTTACCTTACCTCTGCCAACGAGGCCACTACGGCTCTACGCACTAGCACTACGACCTACGACTCTGTCTCTGAGCGTACACTCCAGGCCACCCTGATGACAGCATGTCAGATGAGCGAGATCGATATGTCATGACAGCCTTTTCGCGGGGACGCGGTGTGTGTTTTTATTACCTGTTTTTCCCCTACCTGCTCATAACCGAATCCAGCTGCGCGCCTAGTCGTCCTCCATCCTCCACCAGGTTGGGTCCCCCCTCGCCTTCCGTTAGCGGTCCTGCTTGGCGAGGCTATCGAGCAAGTCCTGCGGGGGGGGGGGGGCGGTCAGTCTCGGCGCGGGGCGCGTCGAGAGGGCGCCTCGGCCGCCGCGCCTGCTGCTCCCGCTTCTTGAGGCCGCTCGAGACGCCGTTGAGGGCCACGAGAGCGGTGCGGTGTCGCACCGAGTACTGCGGGTGCGCGCGCGCCCACGCGAGCAGCTCCTGCGGCGGCAGGTAGAGCGCGCGGAGGTAGTCCTCGACATGCGCCATCGACGGGGCCATCTCGGGCAGCAGCTTGCGCAGCGCCGCCTGCAGCGTCTTGACGTCGAGCGACATCTGGGCGCGGCCCTCGTCGGACGCCTTCTTGACGCCGGCGTACCCGTCCACCAAGTGCTCGCAGATGGCGCCGATCGCCTCGCCGACGAGAGTCCTGTACGCCGGCGATTCGGAGAGTGAGTCCGCAATCGACTCGCTCGTTCCTTGGGCGGCTCGTCGAGGAGGGTCCTGTACGCCGCCACCGGCACGCCGAGCTGCGACAGGGAGCCCGCCAGCTGCTGCACGTGCTGCACCAGCTGGTCGACGTACGGAGAGTGCTGCGTCCCAATCTCGCGCGGCGCCTGCAGAAAAGAATTACGTTCGGGCAGGAGAAGTACGCGGAGGGTGCTGCGTCCCAGTCTCGCGCGGCGCCCACGAACGGCTTCGGATGGCGGCGACGATCGGCTCGAGGTCGAGCATCCCGCGCGCCTAGACACTTACTAGACACTTCCTAGACACCTCCTAGACACTTCCTCGAGGTCGAGCATCCCGCGCGCCACGCCGCGGTAGATCTGCACCGTGATCGGGCCGACCTGCGCGACGAGGGCTCGTCCTTCACTGGTTGCTCCTTCGCTCCCTGACTACTTGATTCGTGCCCTGACTAGGGTCCGCCTGCTCGACGAGGGCGCGCACGCGCGGCGCGGCGGCGGGAGCGGAGGCCTCTGCGGCGGGGAGCAAGTGGCTGCGGAGCAGCTCGGCGAGCAGTTGGAGCGACTCCATCGCGACAATGGTCTGCGGCAGCGCAAACATCTCCTGCGACTCGAGCGGCGCGCGCAGTCGCTCGAGCGACACCGACGCCTGCAGGAACAGAAGCACGTCGGCCGGCGGCTGTTTCTTTTTCTGCAGGCGTCGGTGTGAACTCGAGCGACGCCGCGGCGCGCGCGAGGTCAGCTTGCAGCTCGGCGGCGCTGTCGGTGAGCGGCTCGTGCTGCTCGGCCGCGCCCGCGTGCGTGCTGGTGTGCAGCGCGAGGAGCGCCTGATGGCGTCATCGACTGCTCATTCACGCCTCGCCAACAGTCAACGCGTGCTCGGGTGCAGCGCAAGCAGCGCCTGCCGCAGCGAGGCTGGCATGCCCGGGTCGTGCTCCTACACGCCGAAACACCGCGCCGCTGTGCTTCTCTTGTGGGGCCGGTTGCGGGAGCACGCCCCGGGCCGTGCTCCTCGAAGCCGGCCGAGCCAGGCGGCGGGCCTGCAGACAGACAAACACGTGATGCCCAAAAAGAAATCGCGGCTGCGCGACGCATGCCGAGGGCGGCGGGCCGGTCCAGAAGACGTTGAACACGGTGAGCACGTAGAGCTGCACGAGGCCGACGAGGCCGCGCGTCGCCTCGACCGCGACGGGCTCAACCTCGCGCACCTAGACGCGGAGTATCTCCCAGATCTCTCCAAATCTCCCCAGATCTCCCCCAGATCTCGAGGCCTAGAGGAGGCCAGAGGAGTGCAGCAGCGCAGACGTGCACAGAAGTGCAGAGAGAGAGGCAGAGAGAGAGAGAGAGGCAGAGACGTGCAGAGAGAGAGGCAGAGATGTGCGGGACGGCGAGGGGCCGTCTCGGCCGATCTCGGCTGATCTCGGCGAATCTCGGCGAATCTCGGCCACTCTCGCGCACCAGCCGCAAGTAGCGGCCGACGAAGCGCGCGGTGTTGAGCGCGGTCGAGCAGAGCAGCACTCCCTCCCCCTCCCCCTCCCCCGCGGCGGCGCCGTTCCCCTCCCCGCCGCCGCCCTCCCCGCCGCCGCCCTCCCCGCCGCCAGCCGCGCCGTTGTCTCCGCCCTCGCTGACGGACGCGCCTCGCCTCGGCTGCGGCGCCCTGCCCTCGTCGATGCTGTCGAAGAAGTCTGCCGCCGCGGAGTACCCTCCAGCAAAGAGCTCCGCTCCCTCCCCTCCGCGGCCGCCGCCCGCGCCGCTGCCGTTGGCGCGCGTCGCCGCGGCGGGCGGCGGCGAGAGGACAAACATCGCGCGGCACTGCAGCGGCGGCTTTGTGTGCGCCGTGCCGAGCTCGCGCAAGGACGAGAGTCGCCAGCCTAGGAAGTGTCTAGGAAGTGTCTAGGAAGTGTCTAGGAAGTGTCTAGGAAGTGTCTAGGAAGTGTCTAGGAAGTGTCTAGGAGGAGTCGCCAGCCTGCCTCGAGCGGCAGCGGCGAGTGAAGGGGTGCACGCACGAGTGTCGACGGACCGACTCCATGCTCTGCGTCCCAACTCTCTATGAGCCGCCCGCCTGTCTCGAGCGGCAGCGGCTGCCACATCTCCGTCTCGAGCCGCATGCGCAGCTCGTCGAGCCGCTCGCGGTGGAAGTGCGCCTACCGCAGAGCAGACACACGGCCTCACGGAAGTGTCTAGGAAGTGTCTAGGAAGTGTCTAGGAAGTGTCTAGGAAGTGTCTAGGAAGTGTCTAGGAAGCGGCGCGTAGAAGACGCCATATCTCCCCATGTCTCCCCCGTCTCTCCCCCACATCTCACGTAGAAGACGCGGCTCTTCGCGGCGAGAGCGGCGCGAAGTCCGTGCGACTCGGACGTTGCAAACGCCTCGCCGAGCGACATGAAGGTGTGCGTCCCCTCCGCCACGTCCGCGAGCTCCTCGGGCGAAGCGGCGGCCAGCGGCGCGGCGCCTTGGAGACAGACAGACAGCGCGCCGTAACAAGGAGTACGGCCGGCGGGCGACGCGGCGGCCCGCGGCGGTGCGCCGATGAAGACGGCGACACGCCGCTGCATCAGGTCCCAAATGGTGGTGCGAGCCTCGTGCAGCATGCCCCGCATCAGCCGCAGCCGACCCGCCCGCCACTCCGCCGTCTTGGCCGCCGCCGCCGCCTCGGCCACCGCCGCTCGCTCCTCTGGCGCGATCGCCGTGCCGCCCGCCGCCGCCGCCCCGCCGCCGCCCGCCGCCGCCCCGCCCCCGCCCGGCGCGTCGTCCCCGTTGGCTGCCGCGGCGCCGTTGGCGGCGGCGGCGCCGTTGGCCACCGCGGGCGGCGGCGGCTTTGCTCGCGCGGCGTCGAGTGCGGCGCGCGCCTAAGGCAAGGGGGTAGAGACTTCTCCACACACACACAAGGGTGGCTGACGCAAGGGTGGCTGACGCAAGGGCGGGTCACGCAAGGGCCAGGCGATTCGCCTGGCGCACACACACGAGGAACACACACGAGGATGGTGGGGCCGAGCTAGAGGATGGTGGGGCCAACCTAGCCCTCGCACACACACAGAGGATGGTGGGGCCAACCTAGCCCTCGCGACTCCGCGTCTAGAGGAGAGGAGCTAGCACGGCACTCAAAGTGCGACGCCCGGCGGGTGTGGGTGAGCGGCGCGCGTGTGAGCGTGCGCGCGCGCGCCTCGTCCGCCGCGGCGCGCGCCGCCGCCTCGGCTGCAACCAAGTGGCGCAGCATCCTGTGGTGTGCGTGCAGGACGCGGAGGAGGGCCGAGAAGTTGTGCGCGAGGCACGAGTCGAAGTAGTCCTACTCTCACCACTCTTGCTGCCGCTCGCACTCTTCTTCGACGCCGCGCGCGGCGCATCCTTCGTGTGCAGCCAGCGCGCCTCGCGCAGCTGCCCGCATACGTCCTTGTACTTTCCCAGCTCGAGCGCGCGGAGCTGCGGCCCGCTGACCGCGCCGTCGCCGCCGAGGGAGAGGACGACGTGGCTGTGGAGGACGTCCTTGGTGCAGAGCTTGATCGCCTGCAGACACAGGGCGACGCCTGCCGCAACGACTACCGAAATGCCCGTGCCGCACTGCAGCAGCTCGAGCGCCTCGGCAAAGTTCATGTGCACGCGGTTCACCAGCTCGTCGACGCGGTCGAGGGTCAGCGCGCAGCCGACGGCGGCGGCGTAGCGGCCCGCGTCGTACGATGCCGACACCCTCCGCAGCTGCAGGTGCATCGCATCCTGCAGCGCGTCCGCCGCGACGGCGACGCGGCCCTCGACGCGCTTTGCTTGCCGCAGCCGGCCTACGTGCTGAATACGCCAACCTCAGGGCGGGAGTACGGTATTGCAGTGT